GTGGACATGTTGCATGGAATTTACTAAGACCGTGTGTGCAAATAATAACAGATGCAAAGGTGAAGCGGACAGTTCTATTGAAAGGAGGGTTTACTAATGAAGGCTAACCAGTAACAAGGAATTCAGTGTTGCAAGAGTTTTTCTATAGAACAGCCTTGACTTTTTTGTTGCAGTTATCTTAAATTTCAATGGGATATTTTAACATATTTTAAAAAGTGGGTAGTGACCGAAAGAACAAGATTGTGGATACAAGTGGCCGAAATTAGTTTCCTTCGTAGGGTGTCTGGGCTCTCCCTTAGAGATAGGGTGAGAAGCTCAGTCATCTGGGAGGGACTCAGAGTAGAGCTGCTGCTCCTCCACGTCGAGAGGAGCAAGTTGAGGTGGCTCAGACATCTGGTTAAGATGCCTCCTGGATGCCTCCCTGGTGAGGTGTTCTGGGCACGTCCCACTGGGAAGAGGCCCAGAGGAAGACCCAGGACACGCTTGAGGGACTATGTTTTTCTGCTTGCCTGGGAACACCTTGGGATTCCCCTGGACAAGATGGCCCAAGTGGCTGGGGGGAGAGGGAAGTCTGGGTCTCTTTGCTTAGGCAGTTGCCCCCGTTACCTGACCCCGGATAAGCAGAAGCAAATGGATGGACAGACAGATTGTTAAAAGTTTCAATAATTTTTCAACCAAATCATGCACCAGACATACATGTCAAGTTGTACAGATTGTCCATAATTCACATCGATTTTCCCTCAATGTGCATAGACTTATACGGCAATCACATTTTGTTGTAAACTTTCCTTCAAATCAAAGTCTCAGAGCCACAGGCTAGAAGGAAGTAATTTTGCCTCATCCTCCTCTCTTTACTCCTCTGCCCTCACAGCTTCTCTCTAATAACTCTCTAAGGCTTACAGTCAGCTTGTCCACCCCCCAGTGTGGGTTTGATCCAGGAGAGCAAGGTGCTACTTCTCCTACCTGCTGTAAATTACTTTTTTTCTTTTCTTTGCCTTGTTTTATTGGCAATCATGCTGCAATTGGTAAATAAGGTGAATAAATGTGATGTGTATGATAATAAAGGTTTAATGGTGCTGGAAAAGACTTTCTTCAAAGATGAGACAAAATTGATGCAAGTGAGGTTAGAACTTCTGAGGTTTTGGACACAAATCCACTTGTTTTGTTGACTGCTGGTTATGTGAACATGGATCTGCAAGACTGGAGAAAAGCGAGAGGGGAGAAGTGTTTATGAGCAGGTGCTGTGCATGTTTGTGTCCAACTGTCTGCAGCAAATTCTTGTTGAGAGCTACATGGTGCAAGAATACCATGAAAATGTGTGTATGTGTGTGTGATGATAGAGGGGCTGGGTCGGACATCTGAAGCAAAGCAAAGCCAGTTTGCACCTGCCTTTCAAATGTGCAAGACTGCATATCTTGCCCCCAGTATTTTGAGTGATTTGATAGTCATATTCTTCATATTCATAAAGATAAACACGCTGAATGGATTGCAGCTGCAAGTTTTTTTTAACCTGACAGATGTAATCCATGCTGTGTACCATTAATAAACCAGCTTTGCTTGCACTATCGAATTTGCTCCTGGATTTACACACACTAATCGTTGCTAAATTAGCCCCTTCAGGTTCTTGGTACTTTGATAAGTTTCTATAAACATTGTCGCCATCTGGAGGTGAGAAACGGATAGTTCAGCTATTTTGTAAGAACATTTACTATCAAAACAATCTATTAACAATATTTTAAGAAATTATAATAGTAGTATAGATGTGGTCTTAAGCTCATCCTCCTACTTGTAATGTTAATGGTAAATGGACTGTACTTGTATAGCACCTTTCTACCCAACCAGGACACTCAAAGCACTTCACACTACAATCTGTGCCCTCATTTACCCATTCACACAGCACTCTATCAGATCTCCTACAAAGCTAACATGTACAATCAACTATGGCAACTAATCAGTGACAATCACATTCATACACTGATGGGACACATCAAAGGCATTGGGGTGAAGTATCTTGCCCAAGGACACAACAACTGAGACAGCTGGATGGGGGATCGAACTGGTAACCTTCCAGTTCCAGAACGACTCCCCTAACCACTCTGCCACAGCCGTATCTTTGACTATTTGAAAATGTTTAAAAACATTTAAATCCAACTTGACTTTTGGTCTGTAGTTTGTGTTGTACTTCTCACTGTTTTGTAAAGTTTTATCTACACATCCCTCTAACTCGTTCCAGCTATGTTTGTAATTTGCAGGACTACTAATGTGACTGTTTTTTTTTCTCAAACTAGTCCCAACTAAAGTAAAAAAGCACAAACCTTTTTTTAAACTTTCTCTCTATAGACTGTCTGTTACTGCGCTCTACTGCTCGTTTTCTCAGTCCCCTCTGTTGTTATCTGTCATTTCCAGCCTGTTATGCAGTTTGAAATGCCTTTATAGAATTGCCTCTAAAAATAAACTCACCTTGATGCATGGACTATGAAAAGCTGTTCCGCTCACATTAATATTCAGAAGATTGTATTATATTTCCTTCAGCAGCTGAGTCCCATTTACATGACTAAATTTAGTGACAGCTACAACAGAGGCAACACATTGGCTCTGACGTAGGTATGCTGTGTGTGTGTGTGTGTGTGTGTGTGTGTGTGTGTGTGTGTGTGTGTGTGTGTG